ACCCCCAGGCTCAGTACCCTCAGTCCCAGCACCCCCAGGCTCAGTACCCTCAGTCTCTGCTCCAGTGTCCACAGCAGCAGGCTGCAGAAGCGGCGAAGACGGCAGAGGTGGGAACCCGGGGGGTGTAGCCAGACGAGGAGAGCGGGCACCCCCAGACTCACCACCCCCAGCCCCAGCTCCAGTAGTCTCAGCTCCAGAGTCCACAGCAGCAGGCTGCGGAGGCGGCGAAGACGGCCGTGGCGGGAAACCCGGGGGGGTCTCCAAGCGAGGAGTGCGGCGAGTGGTCGCCGTGTCGTCGGCGACGGCGTCACCCCCCTCAGGTGAGTCAGAGGAGTCAGAAGAGATCTCAACTGGCTCATCCAAGGGGGGTGGGTCTACCTGGGACACACCTGAGGGAGCAGGACCCTGCGGGGGAAGGGGGTCTACCGGGGGGGGGACTGGTACCAGGAAGAGAGGTGCGAGGGGGACCGGGTGGGACGCGTGCGGGTGAAGTCGGTAGTAACAGACCGACTCGTCGAAGGTGACGTCCTGAGAGGACAGAACACGACGCGAGGCAGGGTGGTAGAACTGCCAGGGTGGAGCGTCGGTGGGGAAGCCCAGGAAGACACAGCGGAGAGTGCGAGGGGAGAGCTTGCTCGCTTTGGTATCGCGAACAAGTGAGAGCGCGCCCCAGACCCGAAACGACGACGCATCACCAGGCTGTCCCGTCCAACGGAGTGTGGGCGAGGTCTCTGGAGCAGAGACACGGGGCCAGAGGTTGAGCTGATGCGCGGCGTATCGGACCGCAAACGGCCACAGGAAATGGGGAGCAGCCGCATGGATCATGGAGGTACGAGCAACCTCCATGATCAGGCCAATGCGACGCTCAGCGATCCCATTTTGCTGCGGAGAGGCCGGAAGCGTGAACGACTGGGCGATGCCCTCATCCTGGCAGAACGTCTCAAGGACGCCAGAGGAGAACTCACCACCCCTGTCAGAGTGCAGACGCAGGACTGGAAAGTCCCGCCGAAATCGCTCGCGCAGCTGGTGACGAGTAGCACGGATCCAGGGGATCAAGACACCACTGACATCCGCCTTGCGCCGCAAGGGGAAGACTGTGGTGTAGCGTGTGTAGTCGTCAACCACCAGCAGGAAGTAGCGCTCCTGGTCCGTTCCACCGACGGGGGCCGGGCCCCACACGTCCAGGTGGAGAGTCTGCAGAGGAGCAGTGGTCGGAGGAAACTCGGAGGAGTGAGGAGCGGCGCGCTGCCGCCCCTCGACGCAAGGAAGGCACGGCGGCGCAAGCGAGCGCGGGAGGGGGGGCAGGGTCGCAGGGAGGCCAGAGACCAGGAGCCGGGAGTGCATGCCGCGCAGACGCAGCTGCGACGGGTGGCCAAGACGGTGGTGCCAAAGCTGCGCAGGGTGGGTGAGGAGGCGACACGAGCAGGATGCAGCGAGCTGACCGGACGCAGCCACCTGACCAGACGCAGCTACCTGTGCAGACGCTGTGGTGAGTGTGTACAGGTTCGACCCCGGCTGTCGTGTGAACGTAGCCAGGTGACGGCCTGTCTTGGCGCATGTGCAGATCGCCACACGCTGACCTCCAGGAGTGAAGGTGTCAACCCATACATCCTGAAGGACGGCGTTGCTCACCAGGTTCGTCGAGAACGAGGGGAGGTGGAGACCGGACAGAGAGCCAGAGGGGACAGCTGGGCACGGGAGGACAGTGGAGTGGCATGCAACCACCGGGCCCCCAGAGGGGTCCGCCAGTGAGACTGGGACTGGGGTAGTGAGTGGGGTGACAGTGGTGCTGTCGCGAAAGAAGCAACGTGACGCACCAGAGTCAAGTGTGAAAGTGTGCAAGACCTCAGCAGGAGCGGCAGACTCACTAGCACCTGGGGCAGTAGCGACACTAGCACCTAGGGCAGCAGCAGACGCACTAGCACCTGGGGGAGCAGCATCACCACCAGCATCGCATGGCACACACGAGTAACACGCACCCTCAACACTATAGTCAGAAACATACATAGCATAGAGAGCAGCATTGATCTTAGCAAAGTCAAGAGCAAACACATCTACCCCTTTCCCTATCAGCTGCAGCCAGTTCGGGACCTGCTGGTCCTCGGTGTACTCAGTCACCCAGGCGTCCTCAAGACGGCCGAAGCACTTGTACTCTGTGTGCGGCTTCCCGCAGACTGTGCCCTTCAGAGGCCCCGTGCGCCGGACATAAGGGCAGCGACCAGAGCCCCCAGAGCCCCCACGCTGGAGAACCCACTCACGGAGCTGCTGGTCGGTGGGGTTTTCCGGGAGGCGTGGCAGCTGCTGACCACTCCCGTAGCCACGGGAGGGTCCACGCGCGCCACCACCCCTGCCAGACCCACCCCGACCTCCTCCGCCTCCCCCGCTACCCCAACCGCCTCCCCCACCACCGCCGCCTCCTCCACCCTGTCCGCCTCCTCCACTGCCGCCACCCCCAGAGCCACCCCCAGAACCTCCACCACCCCCGCCACCACCCCCGCCACCCCCTCCGCTGCTGCCACCACCACCACCCCTGCCCCCTCTGCCCTTGCTGTTGTTGCGCCGTCCACTGGGAGCAGACGCAGCGCCAACGTCCTCAGCACCAAGGAGGTCGACTGCAGCAGCGGTAGCAACTGAGGGGAGGAGAGGGGAGGGAGTACACCCTTCAAAGAAGGGGGAGCGGGGGGTGCCACGAGAGGCAGCGACAGCGACAGTGCTCTTCTCAACCTCGAGAAGGGCCTTCTCGAGCGAGTCAAGTGTGAGCTCAGTGGGGTCCATGGCTAGGAACTGGTCCCTGACAGTGCGAAGGGAGTCAGGGAGGCGAGTGATAAGAAAGTACAGGGTGAAGTACTGCGGGGTGGGGTTCTTAGCGAGAAAGTCCGGCTTGAGAGCGGCACGGAAGCGATCCTCACTAGAGCGGAGGTGGGTAAAGAGGTCAGAGACAGTGCGGAACTCAGCTAGATCGGGATGCAGGTACGGCAGCATGAGACGACCTACAGCAGCAGTAGCTGGGGAGGAGTAGCGAGAAACCACAGCGTCATAGAGATCCTTGGCCGTTTTCTGCCGGCTAAAGTGCGCGCGCTCAGTGACTGGCAGGTGGTTGCGGACAGCAAGGCGGGCAGCTGCATCACGCATGAGCCACTTAGACAGATTCTCTACAGCGTCGGCAGCAGGGGGTGGGAGCTTTCCCTCAGTGTGCAAAAACAGGGAAACACCATCCTTAGACTCGCTCTGCAGGAACAGCTGGAGATCGTCGAGCCAGACATCAAAGGTAATCGCGCGGCCCTCAGCATCGAACGTAAGAAGCCATAGCAGCAGTAGTTGCAGCAGCAGCAGCAGTGACAGCTCGGGTTGGGCGGCGCGGCTCGGACTCAGTGGCGGAGCAGCAGCGGCAAGCAGCAGCAGCAGCCGGCGCTCAGTAGCAGCAGCAGCAGCAAGGAGGAGCAGCTGCAGCAAGTAGCAGCAGCAGCAGCAAGGAGGAGCAGATGCAGCAAGTAGCACGGGCTGTAGTAGCAGGAGCTTCAGTAGCAGCAGCAGTAGCACGGGCTGTAGCAGCAGTAGCTTCAGTCAGTAGCAGCTGTAGCAAGTGCCGTAGTAGCAGCAGCAGCAGTAGCACTAGCTGTAGCAGCACTAGCTTCAGTAGCAGCAGCAGTGAGTAGCACTAGCTGTAGCAGCACTAGCTTCAGTAGCAGCAGCAGTGAGTAGCGCTAGTTGTAGCAGCACTAGCTTCAGTAGCAGCAGCAGTGAGTAGCACTAGCTGTAGCAGCACTAGCTTCAGTAGCAGCAGCAGTGAGTAGCACTAGCTGTAGTAGCACTAGCTTCAGTAGCAGCAGCAGTGAGTAGCAGTAGCTGTAGCAGCAGTAGCGTCAGTAGCAGCAGCAGTGACAGCTCGGGCTGGGCAGCGCGTAGTAGCAGTAGGCGCGCGTGGGCTGTGGGCGTGCAAACCAGGGGCGCGCAACAGGTGCGTGCGGGGCAGCACTACGAGGAGCGCGCATCAGGTGCGTGCTAGGGGCTGGCGGGCAGCGTGAGTGGCGCGCGCAGCAGCAGGAACGAGGGGGGGACCGGGCGTAGGGGCTGACGGGCCGCGCTAGAGGCGCACGGGGCAGCTAGGGCTCGGTCAGGGGGTTCGCACGTGACTAGGAACAGAAAATCGCGTCTAGGCAGAAAAAAGGAACCGTCTCGCCTAGGGCACGATTTCGCATTTCGCGTTTCTCCTAGGGGCGCGACTCGGGCAGCAGGTCGAAATAGTAGTGGTGGGCCCTTTTAGAAATTCGGTCCTAAGGAGCATTGTGCTCTTAATACCATGTTTGAGTTACTAGCTAGATGAGAAGTGTCGATTAGGTAAGGGGGGGGGGTACAAGGACTATCGAGAGAGATTGTTGTACCCTCTAAGGAAAGAACCCTACACAACCTAGAGTGAAATAAGCAGAACAATATGTTTTGACAATCGATTGTAATAGGTTGCTTCGCAACCCAAAAACTCTGAAAAATCAGAGAAGGTACATAAAACAATTCTTACAGTTCAGACCAGGTACCAAAAAAAAGTCTGAACGGACTCTGAATCAGACTAAAAAGTCTGATATCTAGGGCACTGCTCACTCCCCCCTCCTCCCCCTCCCATCCAGGCGCTCCTCCTCACCCCACATCTCGCTCAACCTGCACCACGCCCTGCCCCCCAAGGTCGGCCGGATTCAATGAATCTGTCACTTGGGTGGTTATTACAGACTTTGTAAATGTTACCGTACATAGTGCAATAGAAAATTGTCCATTTAAGACTTATAAGACACCCAAAATCTCCCCAAATACAAGACAACCCTAACATTTTTTCTAGTGTATAAGATAAAACATCCGGGCAATGACGGTAACTCATTAATCTTATACATTGCAGTACATTTACCAGTACCGGTATGAAAAATATTAGTACTGCTTGTGCATATTGCGACAACTGCCAAAACTGTGGGTTATGGAACGCCCTTGGCTATGCGGGCAACCACCGGTAGCTATCACAATTCATCGTCATCCATGGCGACAAAAACATTAAAGAGGCGGCCATTAGTGGACCGCAACTCGTTAACCAGCCTTGCCCAGTGTGACCTGAGCCCGCCCACAAAGAAATCCCCCTGAGACGCCACCAGTAGACTTGCCAGAGCCCTCGCCTCTGCTGCCGGCTCTGCTGCTGCTCCTGAGTCTTGGAGTGCGGTGGGCGCAGGGCTTGTCTGATTGGTGGAATGGAGGAACGTCCAATCACGGTAGTTGGTTGCTTCGGTAATCAGTGCCTGGTAGATAGGTTGTGAGGTAGCATGGGGTAAGGAGGAGGGGGATGGGGTTAGAGACAGGGTAGGTGGGATGGAGCGAGGGGATGCGAGGGTGGGTGGGGAAGGGATCATGGGAGAGTGGAGATCAGGTGGATGAACCAGGAGTACAACCGGTACCCTAAACTGACACTGGCACCTCAGCGCTCACCTGAGACTTCGCTCACTTGAGCTTGAGACTTCGCTCACCTGGGATGGCGTGTGCAGCCACACGTGGGCCAGATGGGGTTCCACCAGTCGCAGCTGATGTACCTCATGCATGAGCGCACTCAGCATGCCACTCTCGTTGCCTCCTCCCCCTCCTCCTCCTCCTCCTGCTCCTCCTGAAACAATTCTTGCTCCAGCCTTCACCTCTGCTCCTCCAACTTTACCCTCTGCCGCACCTTTCCCCTCTTCTCCGCCATTCCCCTCTGCACCAACCTCCCCCTCCAACAATTCATCCTCTTCCTCCTCTAATCTCCTCCCTTCCACCTCCGCCTCCCCTCCACCGTTCCCCCCTGCTGCTCCCTTCCCGTCCCCAGACGTACCCCCTATAATCAGACTCGCTAGCGGCCGCATGACATACGGCTCTCTACCCACCCCAACGACCAGATTGTTCTGCTTCTGCACAAAGTAAAGCACATGCTTCTCTTTCTTCTCCAACCCTGCCTTCTGCACATTAGCACTACTCACCCCTGCTTGCATATCCCAGCTCTCTCCAACCCCACCCCCTGCCATCATCACCTCCCCTTTCCACCCTTCCTCCTCACACACACTGCACCTTCCCCCTATAGTAGCCCAAGAAGCTTTGTTTACACTCTCTATCTCCACTCCCTTACCCAACTCCATGCCTTGTAGCTCCTTCGCTTGTTTGCTCTTCCTCACATCTGACCTGGCGCTTTCCCCTGCCGTGTCAGCAGCCACGTCTCTTATGATCTCCGCCTGCGTGTCCTCGAAGAATGCCAGCCTGGCAGCCACGTGGTGGCTGATGCTGACGTGGCGGATGAGGTTGGTGACGTGGCAGAGATGCAGGGAGGGCCAGCGCATGAGGAACCGCGTGGCCTGGGCTCGCCACCAACGCACCTGAGGAGGTGGGGAGTAGTGAATAGTGGTGGAGAGCAGTGGAGAGCGGTGGAGTGGGATCGGATGCAATGGGATCAGAGGCGAGGATAGGAAACAAGGGAGGGAAGGTGCAAGAGGAGGGGACCGAAGATGGGTATGGTTGACATGCATATATTGTGGCTAAGGATAGATACAGAACAGAGTGTGGTTACAAGCGCACACGCGCACACACTCTTACCTGAGGCACGGAGAGGGAGGGGTTGTCAGGAGTGGGGGGGTGGCATGTTGGGCGATACAGTGTATCTGGACGCTGCAGGTGGGGCGCTCCCCATTTGCTGTGGAGGGAGGGACATGTGATGAGTACGCGGGTGTGAAGCAAAGCAGAAAGGATGATCATGGATGGACGGCGAATAAAACACATGGGGCTCACAATGAGTCACCCACATGGAATGAGCAGCGTGGTGCATTTTGACATGGCAGTTTGATCAGCGGGCTCATTGGCGTCACAGCTGTATTGCAGTGGGTTTCACACGTAGTGAAGGAGATAACAGTTTCACTCCTTGTTGTAGAGGCGAACAACACGGCCCCCCCAGAGGGGGGGAAAGGGAGGAGAGGGAGGAGAGGGGGAGGGATTGGAGGGGGAGAGGGGGAGGGAGGGTGGAGACGGGGAGGTAGGGACAAAAAAAGGGAAACACAAAGATGCCCACGTGACGACAGCAGGGTGCAGTTTGAGCTTGCTGTGGTCAAAGCCGCGGTGCAGAGGCTGAGAGACAATGGGCTCCGCAGACACATGGGACTCGCAATGAGCCATAAACAAAACGCACACAGAAATACGCTTGAGCGCAAACAACAGCAGCGTGCAGCTTGAGCTTGTTGTGGTCAAAATCCAGGTGCAGACAGACAGACCATGGGCTCTGCTGCAGGCAGAAACGGAGACAACCAACTCATAGAGTACACACAAAAAGCTGACACGCAAACGGGCACTCACGTGACGACAGCAGCGTGCAGCTTGAGCTCGTTGTGATCAAAGTCGGGGTGCAGACAGACTATGGGCTCCGCTGAGAGTGCCACGTTGCGAATGTGCTTGCCGCTGCACCGCGACCGCAGTGAACCGCTCTGCATCTCTTTCTGTGCGCGCTTGGAGCAGTCGGAGGAGGCGATGGGGGAGAAGTAGCACCCCCACTGGCCCTGCTGGCCCATGGCTGGATGGAGGGAGGGAGGGCGGATGGAAAGAGAAGGGAATGAGGGGAGCGAAGGGGAAACAGGGGGGAAAAGAGGGGAAAGAGAGATGGTTGAATAGGGAGAGGAAGGAGAAGTAGCACCCCCACTGGCCCTGCTGTCCCATGGCTGGATGGATGGAGTGAGGGAGAGAGGGAGGGAGGGAGGGAGGGAGGGAGGGAGGGAGGGAGGGAGGGAGGGAGGGAGGGAGGGAGGGAGGGAGGGAAGAGGGATGGAGGGATGGAGGGAGGGAGGGAGGAGGGATGGAGGATGGAGGGACAGGTGGGATGAATCATAGGGAAATGGAGACGAGTGACAAGCAAAAGGAGGCGATGGGGGACAAGTAGCATCCCCACTGGCCTTGCTGGCCTATGGCTGGATGGAGGGAGGGAGGACGGATGGGGAGGCAAGGGGGAAGAATTATGTGGAAGAGAGATGAGAGATTAGAGATGAGATGGATGGATGGACGGACGGACGGACGGACGGACGGACGGACGGACGGACGGACGGATGGATGGATGGATGGATGGATGGATGGATGGATGGATGGATGGATGGATGGATGGATGGATGGATGGATGGATGGATGGATGGATGGATGGATGGATGGATGGATGGATGGATGGATGGATGGATGGATGGATGGATGGATAGATGGTAGGATGGATGGATGGACGGATGGATGGACGGATGGATGGACGGACGGACGGACGGACGGACGGACGGATGGATGGACGGGATGGAGGGGGTCAGGGAGTGGCAGGGGAGATGAAGAGAGGGAAACGGGGATGGTTGATGAAAAGGGAAGGAAGGGCGCAAATGGGGAGAAGAAGCAACCCCACTGGCTCTGCACGCCTATGACTGGATGGATAGATGGAGGGAGATAGCATAGAGGGAGAGAGCTGAGTTTGACATACCTTGCTCACTCACTAAGTTGACCTGCACACGAATTATACAATATAAGGGCCATTTGAGAGGAACGTGGAAGACAAGGGGGGCGCGGAGATAGTTAAAGGGGAAAGGAGGAAGGAGGTGGTGTGGGGGATGAGAAGCACCCCCACTCGCCGCCACTGAACGCGCCCTTCAAGTCGTCCCCTTGAGATCTCACCATCAGTTGCATGCTCTGCACGTTCGCATACAGAAGTACTGGCGAAGCTCAAGGAGCTCGTGACTGGGCCGAACACACATCCCAATCAAGAACCAGCCCCAGCAGATCACTCAGAAACCACCTGCGATACTTACCATGCGTATCAGAAACGATAAAACCAGATCAAATCAGATCGGACACGCACCTTTGCATGCGGAGTTGTTGGCATAACTGAAGGAACCCGAGAGGGGGACGAGCACTCGCCCTGTCTCCACCGCCAACCCCAGCAGCGCACCCATCACATGCACCTGCAGACCCAGCCCCTCCAAACCTCCCAACCCTTCCGAACCACTCTCCCCCGCCTCCAGTCCTTCCACCGCCCCTCCTCCCTGCCCTGCAGTGCCAGGCAGCACCCAGGGCACAATGAGCAGGCGCTTTCCATCACAGGAGCCGGGAGGGAACTGCGAGAGCCAGATGTCCCGCTGCACCGTGCGCGTGAGGGCCAGGCTGCTGTCGTCAGGGCCGTATACCTGGAGAAGGGGGAGGGGAAGAATGGAGGGGGAGCAACAACACAACATCAGAATGAGCAGGCGCCTGGCGTCAGGGCCGAACACCTGGAAGGGGCGAGCGGAGGGGACCAACAGCAATGCTATGAGCAGAGCAGGCGCCTGGCCGACTGAAAAGTGCGAGAGGCACATGTCCCGCTGCACTGTGCGCGTCATGGCTAGGCTGCTGTCGCCAGAGTCAAACATCTAGGGAGGGGAGGATGAAGGCGGGGGGTTGGGAGGGAGGGCGGAAATGGCGGAAATGGCGGGGAATGGAGAGGAATAGAAGGAAAGGAAGAAGGGGAGAGGGGAGCTGTTGCCCTGCTATTTCACTCGCTGGTTGCTTTCGTGAGGCCCGTACACCTCACACACATTCCCGAAACCCTAAATGGAACCAAAACCCCAAACCAGAAACCCTGACCTGACCATCCTGAGCAGACCTCCTTATTCCCCACCAACACACTTACCTAATTACCAGACCAGGCACCCAACCCAACCCAACCACCCCCACCCACCCACCCACCCATGGTGGTTGCGGTGAGCATCCACAACAGGACGAGCCGTTGCCGCCCGGCGCCGCCCACGCCGCCCCGGCCCTCTCGGCGCCCTGTCTGGCTGACGTGCGGGCGGTGCAGTCCTCGAGGTGGGCGGGCGGCGGAAGGTTGCGCGCGAGGGAGATGGATTTGGGCGGCAGGAGAGCAGGGGAGTCGAGGCCGTAGGCTGACTGCCATGCCTGCATTGCATGTGAGAAGAAGGCGAGGGTTCAGGGGCAGGGATGTGAAAAGAAGGAGAAGGGCAGGGAAAGATGAGGAGAATGAGATGGGGTTACGATATAAGGGAGGTCCCCGTGGGAGGGAGGTGGTTTTGGGCGGCAACTGAGAGGGGGAGTCCAGCCCGTAGGTCACTGCCATGCCTGCATGGGGCCAGGGGAAGATGATGAGGACAGGGGAAGATGATGAGGACAGGGGACGGCGAGGGAAGGGGAAGATGGGGATACGATATTTAGGGAGGTCCCTAAATACGATCTTTGGGAGAACGATGAGGGGGACAGCCGAGAGGAGCAGTTCGGGCCGTATGCAGACTGCATGCCTGCATGTGGTGTGGGCGCGGGGAGACGGGCGCAAGGGGAAATGGGGGAAAGGGGAGACGGGCGCAAGGGGAAATGGGGGAAAGGGGAGACGGGCGCAAGGGGAAAGGGGGGAAAGGGGAGACGGGCGTAAGGGGAAAGGGGGGAAAGGGGAGACGGGCGCAAGGGGGAATGGGGGAAAGGGGCGACGAGGGCAAGGACGCGTCACGCGAGACGGGAGATGACGGCAGGGCAAGGCGCGGGCAGGGGAAGACGCTGGCAGGGGAAGGAGCGGGCGGGGGAAGGCGCGGGCAGCGGAAGGAGCGGGCGGGGGAAGGTGCTGGCGGGTATCACACGGCCCAACGTGCCTTATGCAGCAATGCTATTCGCTCCATCTGGTTCGTATCTCCCACCACCCCCACCGTCATCGTCCCGCCGCTTCTCGGTTCTGCCGCCGCGAATGGCCGATGCGAAAGGCCGGTCAACTGGAGAAGTAGCAGCGAGGCGAAAAGAGCGAGTGCTGGCGCCATGACGGTTAGCGGCGAGAATAACGGATATCGATGATGAAATGTGAAAAGATCGCGCTGCAAGTTGACTCTGCTAAGTGCTTGTTGCCTCGAGATGGTCCCACCTCCCACTAAATTGGCAGGCTTTCATTTCGAGAAACTCTGCCTAACGACGTGTTAGGACGCGTCCCCTGAAGCGGATCGATCGGCTGGAAGATCAGTTTTGCGCACGGGGTGTAGCACTGTATCGTCGTAATCAACAAGGTAACCAATCTTCGCCAGTGATTACGAACGTACAGTAAAAATGTGCCCACGATACATCTGGGAGATATATCTCAACGGACAAGTTTCGATCCAACCGATCGACCCCGACCTCTCATTTCCAGAACATGTGCTCGTGGATCACCCAACCCAACCAGGTCGGATCGGTTTGGCTCGATTTTCCCACAATTTTCGTACGAAATTTTTGTAGCCCTCGTTTTCTCGCCTGGATGGTGTAACTGCTGCTGGTAACACCAAAGGGGGTTCTCCCTACCTTCACCTTTACCTGCTGCTGGTGTTCGCACTCCACAGATATTTTCAGTAGGGCTTCGAGGCACGCGTTTTGTATGGGGGCTCGTTAATACGTAAGAAACGGACGCGCCCAGGGGACTAACGATCGGCACTCAATACCGCGTACATTGGGGTTCTAGGGAGTGGGGACCGCTCCTGGGATTTGTAACCGTTAGGCGCGACACCGCTTTGATGGGAGGAGCAACGGGGGAGGACGCGGGGAAGGGGGAAACAGCGCAGGTGGCGGGGGAGGACGCGGGGAAGGGGGAAACAACGCAGGGTGCGGGGGAGAACGCGGGGAGCGGGGCGGCAACAGCGCCCGGGGCGGGGGAGAACGGGGGAAGCGGGGCGGCAACAGCGCAGGGGGTGGGGGAGGAGCGGGGCGAGGCGGCGACAGTGCACGGAGTGATGCGGGAGGGAATGGCGGTGCTGATTGACGTGAACGGCGAAAAGGCGTCCTTCGCCATGCTGCAGCGCAACAGGTGCGCCTCGCCGCTTCTGTCCCCTCTCTCCCCATCTCCCTTCTCATTTGCCACCTCCGCTTCTCCTCTCTTTCTTCTTCCCTCTCTCCCTCTTCCCCCGCTTCCCCGCCTTTCCCCATTTCCCCCCTCCTCCCCATCCCCGTTTCTTCGCTCCTTCCTCCTGCTTCTTCGCATGCGCTCTGTCCCACACCCCTGCGCTCCATCTTTTCCCCCTATCCCAATCCCCTCTTAAACCCCTGTCCCCCTCCCCCGCCCCCCGCTTCCTATTTTTCGCCTTCCCCACGCCCCTCTCCCCCCAGCACTGTGCGAGTGGGCAATAGCAGTGCTCCCTTGCGCCCCTCATAGGCCCCTTTCGTCTCTCCTTCTTCTCCCCTTCATCATCTCTTCTTTCCCTGCCAACTGTTTCCCATTTCCTCCTTCCCTCATGCCCGAATTCCCCCATTCCCCCCTCCTCCCCTCTCCACGCCCCCACCCCCCCAGCACGGTGCGAGTGGGCAAGCAGCAGTGCTCCCTCGCGCCCCTCATACCGCTGTCCCTTTCAACTCTCCTACTCCCCTTCATAATCTCTTCTTCCCCTGCCAACTGTTCCCCATTTCCCCCTTCCCCCATACCCGCCTCCCCTCTCCGCCCCCCCCCCCCCTCTGCCTCCCCGCAACCCTCCCCCCCAGCACGGTGCGAGTGGGCAAGCAGCAGTGCTCCCTGGCGCCCCTCATAGGCTGCCCCTTCGGGTCGGTCTTTGAGCTGCGCATGGGGGGCGACGAGGGCGCAGAGGGGGGCGGGGGGAAGGGGGGAGGAGGAGAGGGGGAAGGCGGAGAGGGGAGCCAAGCGAAGGACGCGGGAGGGGAGGGGGAGGATGATAAGGGCGATGGGGGGAAGGGCGGAAGGGGGAAATGGGGTGGCAGGGGGGGAGGAAGAGGTGGATGGGGGAGGGGAGGGGGAGGGGGGAGAGGAGGACGGAGGCCGCAGCTGGTGCGAGTGTCAAAGGAGCAGCTGAGGGAAGGTGAGTTACTGAATAAGTGAAGGAGGGAGGGCGGGAGGGCGAGAGGGAGGGAGGAGAGGCGCTCTCTCCTCTCCTGCTCTCTCACACCAACCAAACCAGAGTTTTGAAACGTCTCACCCAGCAACCATTGAATGAAGGATTCATCCCATTTTTTAGAATTCTCAAAAGCGATTTCAACATACCATCCGAAACATGTTTTCCACGTTCTAGTCTCTTAGCGGAGTCAAGGTCTAGGTTTCAACTCTCGGTATTCTGACACGTTCACACACTGCTCTCAATCTTATGCGAAAAAAACGTCTCAAACGCATCTCGCACAGTCTACATGATGCCTGACGCACCAAGCACGCACGCACTGGTCGAATGTGCCCTGACCTCCGTTTTTCTGTCGTTCCAGATTCTCTTGCTGCCATCGGGGAGGTAGACGCTGCTGCTGTTACGACTGCTGCCACTGCTGCTGCTGATACTCTTGCCGATGCTGCAAAGAGTGGGGCAGCAGAGATGGGTGCTGCAGAGGGCAGCAGCGATGGGGTGAAGGACAATCGCAATCTGATTGACGATAACACGGCGCAGAAGCTATCGGCCAGTGAGATTGAGGCACTCAAGAGGTGATTGGCCAAACCAGAAGAAGCACACTTAACCAGCTTTCACAATTTTGTGGTTTTGCAAAGCCGTTACATGTTTCCACTTTGCTCACCTTCCCAACCTTCTTCACTTTTTTTTTTACGTAGACTTTCTTTTCATTCTCACCATTTCTACTGTTATTTTCCCATTATGGCCTTGGTCATCTTTTTACCTTTTCAACCTGTTCCCTCTGGCTTTCCACCTTGTGCTTGTCGCAGGCAAGCAGCATCGGGGCATGAGGTGGTGCGGGCTCTGGCGGCCAACAGCGTCTCCTTCCACACCAAAACCGACTTTGCCCAGGTCATGCCCGCCCGCTGCTGCTTGCTGCTCGCTGCTTGCTCCTACTTACTTGCTGTGTGCTGCTTTCCTTTCCACTACCAGCCCGCACTTCCTTCCACACCCCAACTGACGTCGCCCAGCTCATGCCTGTGCTGCGCCTGAATGCTCCTCCTCACTACAAGATACTTTCTTTCTCTACTTGCTCCTGCCTCCTTCCAACGCCCGCTCCTGCTCGCTCCTGTATGAATCTCACACTCACTCTAATCCCTTCCCCACACAAGAGGTATCTGGGGAAGAAGCAGAAAGAGTAGGCAAAGCACACTCTGGTGTGATTCCCACCCCATCACTGTGTTATCCTTCTCTCACTCGAATCAACCAACCCGTTCGCCCCCTTAACAGGAGAAGTATCTGAGGAAGAAGCAGAAGAAGCACGCTCCCCGCCTGGTCGCCCGCTTTCCCACAGCTGACAGGTCTCTCTGCCTACCCTCCATGCCTCTCCAGCCACGTTTGCAACCATGCAAGATCCACCCACGTCCTTCACTCCTCCTACATGCGCTTCACTCCTACATGCCCATGTCTGCATGACTCTCACACTCATATGTGACTCTCCTATGATGTGCTGTGTACAGCATTGTATCGTACACTGAACATCGTTGTTTTCTGTCATGCCGTTTACACGGTTTCCCTAAACAATGCATACACCACAAGTAGTTTCTGTGGTCTCGGGACTGCCTGCATTCACAATGCATGAAAAAAAGTCTTCGCTTAACTAGTTCTAACCAATGTTCCTTCTCCCACTCCTGCTCGTGCCTCATCCTTGCCCCCACATCAGCGTGTGTGAGGCATACTTCGCCAAGGCGCCTGCCAGGATTGGGTGAGTGACAAGATGGCTTTTGAGAAATTTCATTTCCAAGGCGCTTTTGAGAAATCCCAAAGAGTGGATGAGTGAGAGGATGGCAAGCCTCCGCCAGCAGTTTCGTTTCTCTAGCATGGCGTGATGTGATGGACGAAGCGGTGTGTGAAGCAGTATTCGACGCAGTGCACTCAGCAATGTATTTGCATACAGGCCAATGGCACAAAAACTAGGTTCTGTCAAACGGATATGATTTGCGTACCGTGTGATTGCATTATGATTGTGCTGTGTGGCTTCACCTTTTGGCCTATTTGCCCCGTATACCACATTCTCCTCTCTTGGCTGGTGGTAGCCTTGCCAATTCTGCTACCCACGCACGCTTGCACCTGCTGCTCCAGGCAACTCTTTCCCCTCCTCCGCTGCCCATTGCTCCCCGTCACTCTCACTCTCCCCACCCATCTCCCCTCTCTCCCCATGCATGCCCTGCAGTTTCCTGCGCCCTCGCAGCCTGGCAATGCTACCATGGGCAAATTTTGAGGCACCTCAGAAGTCTGGCAACTCTGCTGACAATGACCATGCGCCCACTTAGACTTGCTGCTTCAGGATAATCTCTCCCTTCCTCCACCCATTGCCACCTCTCCACCATAACTCGTTTTTGCAGTTTCCTCCGCCCTGACAGCCTGGCAATGCTGCTAGCAATGGGCAATGCGGGCGCGCACTCGCTCCTGCTTCAGGCTAACCTTTCCCCCCCCTCTCCACCCATTGCTCCCCTCTCTCCCCATGTGTGCACTGCAGTTTCTTGCATCCCGACAGTCTAGCTATGCTACTTGCCATGACCAATGCAGGCGCGCACTCGCACCTGTTTCAAGTTATCCTTTCCCCACTCATCCCACTGCTCCCTCCCTGCACCCGCTGCTCCCTGCACTCATTGCAGATTCCTGCGTCCCGACAGCCTGGCGATGCTGCTAGCAATGGCCAATGTGGGAGCGCACTCGCAGCTGCTAGTGCTGGACGGCACAGGGGGGCTCATCACGGCTGCTGCCGCCCAGAGGATGGGAGGCCATGGCGCCATCTGCAGCGCCTTCTATGGCTCGCATGTGTCCCACGCGCCCTCCATCGACATCATCCGCCATCTCAACATCTCCCTGCCCGCCGCTGCCATGTCAGTTGCTCTGCCGTGTGGAATGTAATGTAACGTGGCATGAAACCTGGCTTGTATCGTGTCATGTGATGTGTCACGACAGAATCTACACTGCTTTCCTCGCCCACATCCCTCGCATGCATGCCATGCCATGCCATGCCATGCACCCTCGACCATCACCATCCTTAATACGGTCACTGATGCTCCCATGCTACCGTTTTGTCATGCTCACTCCTGTCCCCCCCTTGTCAGCATTTATCGGGCATCGGTGCAGCAGTTGCTGGATGCACACCACACCTGGTCGCAGCAGCAGAAGGTCACTGCAGCAACGGATGCGCCACAAACAGCAGAGGCGGTTGCAGCCGTAGCAACATTGAACGATGCGGCAGCAGCAGCAGATGCAGTAGATGCCTCAGGAGCAACAGCAGCAACAGCAGCGGAAGCAGATGGACAAACAGCAGGGGGCGGCGAAGGGGGGGGGGCTGAAGGAAGACCTTGCAAGAGGCTGAAGGGGGAAGGGGACGAGAGTGCTGCTCAGACTGGATCAGAGGGAGCAGCCGGTGCTGAGGGAGAGAGAAAGGCAGCAGACGGTGCGAATGGGTTGAATGCGATAGCAGAGACTCCAGCAGTGGAGAAAATGGAAGTAGAGGAGGCAGGGGGAGTGAGGGAGGGTGCAGAGGGAGTGAGAAGTGGTAAAAGCAGCTTGACGCGGGAGGAACGGGGTGCACAGGGGGCGTTGGGGCGGGTGGCTTCAAGTGAGGTCATGCAGCAGTGGCTGAAAGAACATGGGGGATTTAGCAGGTGAGTGAGCTTTGGAGATTGCATTGCCTATAATCACATAGGGGCGGGGGATGGCTTGTGGTGAGGTCATGCAGCAGTGGCTGAAGGAACGTGGCGGGTTCAGCAGGTGAGCTTCTTCGCATACTGCCTTGCCTGTAAGGGCACAAGGGAGGATGGCTTCTATCAGTGGCTTCTATCAGTGGCTTCTATCAGTGGCTTCTAATGAGGACACGAGGCGGTGAGATTGGGAACGACGCAGTGAGGGAATGGCAGTGTGGGCATTGGGACTAGTTCCACGTGTATTTTGAGGGTTCTCACGAATCAGATGCAACAAAGTGGGGGCATAGGAGTGTGGGCATTGGGACGAGTCCCACCGTGCATCTTTCAAGGGCAGTCATGCAGCAGTGGCTATGGGGACACGGCAGGCTCGCCAGGTGAGCTTGCGGGAACAATGTAAATGACTGGGAAGCCATGGTGGGCGGGAAACCCCTGGCGTCCAGTGGAGCGGAGGCATGTGGCAGTGGTTGCATTGCAACACCACCTGCTCTCACCTCCTTTTCTCTGCCTCTGCTGCCCCTGTTGCAACTTTTCTTTTCTTTTTGTCATCAATTCCTTTTTTAACATGCACCATTTCATGCCCATGCATCTCCTCATGTCCCTTCCCTGTCTCTCTTCACGCGTCTCTCCATCCCCTCCCCCTACCATCCCTCCCCAGTCTCATAGTGACAGAGCCTGCTCGCTGCCCCTCTGCCTGCCATGCTCCCTCAATCTCATGCCCCAATCCCCTCTTTTCCCTACCCCTATTTCATCCCTCCCCATGTCTATCCCCTACACCTCCCCAGTCTCATAGTGGCAGCGCCTGCTCTCTGCCCCTCTGCCGTGCTACAGCAGCTGCTGCCGCTGCTGCAGCCGTCTGCAGCCTTCGTGTTGCATCACACCACGCTGCAGGTGAGCGGGTGGATGGAGAGCAGGTGAGAGGGTGGAGAGCAGGTGAGAGGGTGGAGAGCAGGTGAGAGGGTGTGAGAGAGGTGAAGGGGTGTGAGAAAGGTGAAGGGGTGTGAGAGAGGTGAAGGGGTGTGAGAGAGGTGAAGGGGTGTGAGAGTAGGTGAAGGGGTGTGAGAGCAGGTGAAGGGGTGTGAGAGAGGTGAAGGGGTGTGAGAGTAGGTGAAGGGGTGTGAGAGTAGGTGAAGGGGTGTGAGAGCAGGTGAGGTGTGAGTGAGAGCATGTAGCCACAAAACCTGCTGGTGGGCTGGATTGAGACATCTGACACCGCTGCTACTGCTGCAGCCACAAAACCTGCTGCTCCTGGATGCACAAAGCCTGCTGCTCCTGGATGCACAAAGCCTGCTGCTCCTGGATGCACAAAGCCTGCTGCTCCTGGATGCACAAAGCCTGCTGCTCCTGGATGCACAAAACCAATGGATCCCCCAGTAGGAGGCATGGCGTAGCGTGGCAGCAGCTGTGCTTAGCAAACTGTTGTTTAGTTTGGTTTTATGCTTGCTTGTAAAAACCTTGTGAAAAATAAAAGTTGGCGGTAAAGCCACAAAGCCTGCTGCTCCTGGATGCACAAACCTGGGCCTTTTCTGCTGTGCAGCCTCCCTCTCCCATTTTCTCTCTCCGCCATACGTTTCTCACTTTCACGATTTTCATTGCTTGGCACTGCGTCACTCTTCCCTAACCCCATTCTCCCCTTTCCCCCTTCCCCTCTCCCCGCCGTATGCACCATGTGAACTAGCACAGGCGATTGGGTCCTCTTTTAAGGCACCTCACAAGTACGCCGTCCTCCTTTCCCCACCCCTTGCAGCCGTTTGCTGAGGCAATGCAGCCGTCCCTCAAGGCGCCTCAAATGCCACTCGCATCACGTGCGCTTGCTTTCCCTTCCCTCGCCCCCACCTTGCACCCCACATGCCTGCCTTTCTCACCCCTGCAGCCGCCAGCAGAGGAGATTTGGGCATCATTTGTACGCTTGCTTTCTCTTCCTTCGCCCTGCTTGCACCATACACGCCTCCCTTTCCCCACCCCGACAGCCACTAGTGGAGGCAATGCGGGAAGCAAGGAGCAGCACAGTGGCGATTCATGAGCTGGCTTCCCCCGCTTGCACCACGTGCGCATAATGCCTTTCTTTCCACACCCCTCCTGCACCATGCACTCTTCCCCCGCCAGCCACTAGCGGAGGCAATGCGAGAAGCAAGGAGCAGCGCGGTGGCATTGGAGCTGACTGAACCATGGCTGAGAGAATACCAGGTGAGGGGAGGGATGAGGGGAGGGAGGTGAGAACAGGGAGTAGCAGGTGAGGGGGAGAGGCACAGGGGGGGCTTGTTGAAACAGCCGAGGAAGTAGCTGGCTCCGGAGCTGAGCGAGCTGTGGCTGAGAGAATACCAGGTGAATACCAGATGGCGTGTTTTGAGACGTCGCAAGGGTTGTTGAAACAGGGAAGAAGTGAGGTGAGTCAATACCAGGTGAGTACCAGATGGTGCTGGCTCTGGAGCTGAGCGAGCCATGGCTGAGAGAATACCAGGTGAGGGGAGGGAGAGAAAGGTAGGGAGGTGCGGGGAGGGAGGTGAGAACAGTGAGGTGAGAACAGGGAGTAGCAGGTGAGAGGAGGGAAGTTAGAACAGGGATTCGTTTAGCTAATCTATGCGTTGCTAGACTGTGCTATACAGTCTGCTCTCCCTCCCTTGCTCCCCCTCCAGGTGCTGCCTCAGAGGACCCACCCCCACATGACCATGTCTGCCACGGGTGGTTACCTGCTCACGGGGATCAAAGTGGTAACACCCTGAATCCGTCTCGCTACAAACAGAATCAAATCACATTCAAACCATTGCTGTGTTGTTTTATGCGTGTACTTTGGTATCAGAAATTTGCCAGTTGCATTCTGTTAGCCATGCCATTTCACGGAATAGCACTTAGCGGAATGGTGAATGACTAGCGGCCGTGTGAATACAGGTCTCTAAGGGGTGTTGATAGCAAATGTGTGTACCCACTCTGGTATCTCGCCAATGCTGCTGGGCTGTTTCCTTCTCAACGACTGCACCATCGCCTCAGACAATCGAGCTAACTCCCCTGCCGTGAGGCGTGCCATCCCGCGGCTCCCCTCTCCTACTTGGCACCTTTACCGACACCTAGCTAGGCGGATGGCGTCAGGGTTCTGGTCGGAAGAGGTGTGGGTAAGGGGACGGACTGCCAGGCATGCTGCATCCGTGGTGGAGTAGAACAGCTGACGCCATCTCCCCTCCCAAAACGAAGCCAAACGCTCCGTAACCAAGGCTCTCTGACCAATCCCCGGCTCGTGCGGCAGTGCAAAGATGAGGTGTAGGAAAGCCAAGAGGAAGAGTTTCACAACTATTTCCTTGGGTCGTCTCTTCAACCGCTTCACGACGCAGCTGAGTGCGTCCAGGACCCCAAAACGCACACGCTGGGGATCGGACGCGCTTTTTTTCCTCTGAATGCTTCCACGCAGAAGAAGGCCTCTTAATCCCATGATGGAAGCTCGACCACACCACACCCTCTCCTGGATCTCTTGCATTGTTGGTCTCTCTCTCCTGTTTCCTATCCTCATCCAAAGATAAAAATTGAGCCAAGAGCATGTGCATGCTCATCTGCCTCTGCCGCTCGGCATGCCTTATTGTGGCTCGAAAAACCCCCTAGTGGCGATCGTGTGGAAGCACGACTCACACGGAAAGAGTGGTCGTAGGGAGGGCAGCTCGTAAGGTCCCCAAATTCATAGCCACTGACTCTTTCACTGGCGCCATAGGGTTGTTATATGCCGCTAACTGCCACTGGGGTTTGGCATGCTGCCCACAACCTTCCACTGGCTACTGCACGCCCTTGGCTGCTGCTGTCACCCGGGCTGCCTCCCTGGCTGCTTCTGTCATCCCCTGCTGCCCGCCTAGCTGCAGCACGCTCTGGGCTGTTGCTGTCTTCCACTACTAGCCCACTGGCTGCTGCTCGCCGTGGGCCACCGGGCTGCCGCCATTACCGCCGGCCATCCCCATGGCTTCTGCGCGCCCTGGGCTGCTGCTGTTCTGCTGCCCCACAGGCTGCTGCCCGTCCTGTGGTGCTTCTCGGACCCTCTGCTGCCCCACCGGCTGCTGCCCGTCCTGTGTTGCTGCTGGCACCCCGGCTTCCTCCCTAGCTGCCACACGCCCTGGGATGCCGCCATCACCCCCTGCTGCCCGCCTGGCTGTTCTGCTCCCGGAAGTGTTGCTGTCAACCCCAGCTGCCGGATCCACACCTGGCTGCTGCACGCCCTGGGCTCCTGCTGTCAACCCCTGCTCCCTACCGGGCTGCTCCCGGAAGTGCTGCAGTCACCCCCAGCTGCCCCCTCGGCTGCCACACGCAGTGGGATCCTGCTGTCAACCACATCTGCCCCCCTGACTGTGCGCCCTGGGCTGCTGCTATCACCTCTTGCTGTACCCCTCGCTGCTGCACGCCCTGCGGTGCCGCTGTCAACCCCTGCTGCCCCCTTAGCTGCGACACGCCCTTAGCTGCCCCTCGACATTATTATTAAATTGTAATGAATAATACACATTATCAAGCGTCCTGCTATAGCTCAGTTGGTAGAGCGGAGGACTGTAGTTGACCGCCGCCGTACAACACAGCAGCCCGAATTTCACGCCGAATTTTACGCTACCTGAAGCATCCAACCTACGGAAAACTCATCGACTGCTATTTTTCGATTCCTCTCGTTATCAGCTATCGATAGATACCACTTTCGTCCTAAATCGTCAAGTCTTCACTCAGTTCATACATTCGACCCTTATTCCAGAATTACCAAAACAGACGAATTTGCAACCATCTTCGCGACATAAAGTCTTATCTCCCATGGCGACGAACGACAAGCGCCATAGGGATGCGATTAGTAAGCAGCCAGGTCAGCGTTTGGGCTCCACTCGTCTCGAGGGATTAAACGACCTTCCAAGGCTCTCAGCATCGAATTTTGAAAATCCGCCACAGCAGTCTTCTCCACTGGACGAGTACATCCATACAGCGCCTACTTCAGCGCCTCCTTCAAAGCCATCGCCCATGTTAGTTGACGACGGACAGCCGAGAACACCTGCTGCGAAATCATCTGCACGGAAATCATCAATGCTCACACAGCCAGCAACTGCGAAACCAGTACCTGCACAGCCAGCAGCGTCTAAAGCATCAGCTACACACTCATCAACTGCGAGACCAGCAACAGCTATACCTCCTATCCGACCTACGAACCAGAACCCACTACTCCCCACACCTACTGCTTCTCTCCTAGCACCTCAAGACCCGGGACCTTCATCTCTAACAGCACCACTACCCACAGAGACTTCAGCACCTACTACAACTCTTCAACTTCAATGTCGCCACTGCCCCAGGCAGTTAGCTACGTCACAAGGTCGGGCGCGTCACGAGAAATCGTGTAAAGCAGCGGCACTTCTGCACAAGATAAACCTGGAGGCACAGCTCACCCCAGTACCAACCGTATCACCTCAACCTCACAGCATCGCCACGGAGGACACATGGCTGGCCGCGGCTTCTTGGCCGTGGGACCGGTTTTTTGCTCCTGAATTTGCTTCCCCTCCATTGGTCAGGAGGATTCCGGACCGTGCTCGTGTCCCGGTCCTTGAGGCGCTTCTCCCTGTGCTGCAGCGCCTTAAGGACCATCCCCTTGACGACGGAGCAGCATTCCTCCTCCTTGCTTTTCCCCGCATGGTCCTCCGCAAGCCTGCAACCGACAGCCTAACCTCACAGAGCAAAGCATGCATTGAACGCGCGAACAGATTTGCTAGCGGTGACTGGCACGAGCTCTTCCAAGAGACACTGACTACATACAGCCCTGCAACACACCCGGTTTCCATCTCATCTGCGCGCTCAACATCTGATGAAGCACGAGTTCAACGGTGCATTCGTTTTGCCTCAGTCGGAGAGTGGTCCCGAGCATATGCTGCCCTGCAGGCCGGAGAGCTTGCTCCCCCAACAGCTGAGACAGTTGACAGACTCCAAGCTAAACACCCCCCCTCTACACAACCTATACCGTCCTGGGTGGACTCCTTCACCCCTATGGAGGTTCCGCAGCTGCCCCTCGATCTTCTCAAAGAGGCTATCCGCACCATGACAAGGGGGGCAGCGGCAGGCCATTCTGGTTGGATGGCCGAGCACCTTCGCGACACCTTCCTTGCCCACCCCACCTACCTCCCCCTCCTCCTCCCTGTGCTCAACAACTGGCTGGCGGGCAAGGCCTCCTCCCGTTTCACTCCTTTCCTCACAGCTTCAACTCTCATCGCGCTCAAGAAGTCAAACGCCGATGTCCGGCCAATTGCAATCGGTGAAGTGCTTGCACGTCTGCTTTCACGCTGTGTAGCGCTCTTGTTCAAGCCGCAAATCCAGTCACAGTTCTTGCCTGACCTGCAGCTAGGTGTCGGTGTCTCGGCTGGCCTTAGCTCGCTTGTCTTCGCTATCCGCTCGTCTCTTGAGCTGCACCCTGAGTGGGCTGTCCTTAATGTCGATGTCGCTAACGCATTCAACTCGTTTCATCGCGCTGCAATGTTCACAGCCCTTCAAGAGTCCGACTTTTCCTCCTTAATACCTTTCTTCCGCCTTTTCTATGCAAGTCCCTCGCCTCTTCTTTTCCATTCAGGACCCCTCCTTCACACACTTCAGTCACAGCGCGGAGTCTGCCAGGGGGATCCTTGTGGCCCTTTCCTTTACGCTATCACCCAGCAGCTCGCAATCCGTGCCATCCGTAATGCCTTCCCTGACATTATCTGCATGTCATATGCCGACGACTCGTACATCCTAGGGCCCCCACAGCGCCTTGTAACAGTCTTTACAGCCTTGCAGAAGCAGTTCGCAGACCTTGGTCTCAGTGTCCAGCCCGCTAAGTGTCAAGCCTGGGCGCCACAGGGATGGCCAGATCCTCTCCAGGGCCCCCCTGGAATAGCCCTCCAGGATAAGGGAATCATAGTCGCACGCGTCCCCGTAGGCGAACCCGATTTCATTACTTCAGAGCTACGCAAACGCCTTGCTTCGCTGAGAGTTGCTGCACCATGGCTCGCTCGTCTAGAAAACCCGCAGATCGCTGCCCACCTGCTCGCTATGTGCCTGTCCGCCAAACCTTCATACCTCCTCCGCACGGTTCCACCCACAGACGACGTCCTAGAGGCATACACTGACTGGGATGATCACCTTCTCGATACCCTTATCTCCCTCTTCCCTCCTGACACTTGGGACCTTGATACGGCGGAAGGTCAGCTAGCCCGTTCACAGGCCTTTTTACCGATTCGCTTGGGGGGTCTAGGGATTCAGAGTGCACACAGACACGCGTCACTTAGTTATGTCTGCAGCTGGGCTCAAGCTATACCAGTCCTAGCTAACAACTGCAGCATTGACGGCGACCGTTTCCTTCAGCCCTTCATCGCTAGCGATGCCCTTGACCCTTTGGACCCGCAGATTTCACATGCTTTGGCAGCCTTGCCTGACGATCTGCGGCACTTAGTCCCTCCCTGGTCCGCTCTACTCGCTGGATACCCGAACAGGCTATTTTCTGCCCTAGCACAGCGCATTTCAGCACACGCAGCAGAGCAGCTACGTTCAGCCGCTACCCAGCACCACCAACTGGTCCGTTTAACTTCCCTTCAGGACCCATCTGCTGGTGCCTGGCTCACGGCTGTCCCTTCTGCTCCTCGTGCCCAACTCGAACCGGCAGACTGGCTAATCGCGACTGAAATCCGCCTAGGCCTCCCTATTCCTCACATCCGTCTCCTAGAATCGGCCCCACCCTGTTCCTGTGGTCTTACCTACACTGATCCCACCCTGCCCAGCCATGCGCTACGCTGTCCTGACCTTAATGAGCCGACTCACGTACACGACGCTGTGAAACATGAGGTAGCACGGATTGCGAGGGAGCTAGGCTTCACGGTTAGAGTAGAAGACCGCACGATGCTGCCGGAGGCAATTCCAGATGTCACTTGCATAGACCCTTGCGCTGGAATCAAATGGGCATTGGATGTGTCAGTAACCGACCCGCAGCTGCCCTCCGCTCCCCTAACAGTTACTCATACAGTCGGCCTAGCTGCAAAACAGCGCGAAGCAGAGAAAAGATCCCACTACGCAGCAGCTTTACGCGCACGGCCAGCAGTCAAGTTTCTTCCACTTGCACTTGAGACCTTCGGGTGTTTGGGCAGCAGCTTCAAAGCGTTTCTACGGGACTGCAGTCGCAGGGCAGCAGCACGGCATCTTGATCACGGTGCAGCAGACAGTGTTCTTACAACCGCCTTTGAGAGTTCCTACATGCTTCGAGTCTCTATGGCTTTGCAACGGGCGCAGGCCAGAGCAATCCGCCACAGGGTAGAGGTGGCCTTCCCATCGATCTCGGAGGAGATGTCAAGCGAAGACCCATCATTTTCAGATCTTCCTGCTTTCAGTGATGGCGCTCCTGACCTTGCATATTTGTTCAACCCCCGCATTTAAGGGGGGTTAATCTTTGTAGATGCTTTACTCTAGGGTTACACTGCTGGTTTTGTGGGTCATGTGGGTCAGTTTCAGTTTGTGAGTCACTCGTTTGTGTCATTACCGTAGGTTCTGTTCTGTTCTGTTCTGTTCTGTTTTGTGGTTTCAAGTTCTGTTCTGTTTTTCTTCTGTGTGTCCTGTTTCCCACTGTTTTGTAACCAGTTCTGTTCTCTTTTGCACATCGTTATACTCTCATATCACTCAATCACTTTGTCATCTCTCACCTGTTCTTCACATCTTTACACTTGCTTTTCTTTTCCACTGCTCTAGAACTTCTTGTACATAGTGTACATATATGAGCCCATGTACCTAGGAACTTTGTAAATAAAGTAGGAGGACTGTAGTTGAGCAATCCTTAGGTCACTGGTTCGAATCCGGTTGGCGGGACCTCGGTCAATCTCAAATATTAACCTCTTAATGTTGTTTTCTTCTGCTAGTGTATTCTCAAATGATCTTAGGGTTGTTCTTGGCCGGTGTCAGGTTTTATGACACTAGGCTATCAACAGCTCCGATCGTTCCACGGCATCATCAATCAAATCCAAACCCTTCAGTGCTTCGTGTAAAACAGCATGACACCGGCAGAGAACGTACCCTTAGTGAACAAGGGCAAAGCCAGCTTTGGCTTTTATGAATACTCTATAACATGTTTTTGATCATCAAACAAAACGGAGTGAGTGCATTGTTGACATACTGCAATCACCCATTCTGAGTCAACATGGTAGTTTCAAGGAAAACATTAGCTGTGCTACCACTAAGGTGGCCCTTGCTGGACCAGCCCGACTTCTGCTTGGACCCGAACAGCCTGGCCTAGCTCAGCTCGTCCTTCCCATTCTCTACAAGAGGCCATCTCTACTCCATATGAGATAAGATAATGGCGTCCGAGCGGGACTAGCTTGGGCGCTAACAGGACTGGCTTGGGCCCGAATGGGACTGGCTCCGGCACTGGTTGATGCTCATCCGTCCCAGTCTCTGCAAGAAGCTACTTCTGCTCGAGAGAGGTTTTGAATTTTCAGACACCATCCTCGATAAGATAAAGCCCTTGACCTCCACGATTGGCGCACAAGGGAGGGTGATAGTGTACTACACACGCATGTACTCATCGCCATAAGTGCATTGAGGTAGGAACTTTTCTCCTGCAGGCTCACATTAGTGGATACTGCATTACAGGCACCCATTTAGCAATGTACGAAAAGGTAGAAAGGCAAAAAGAAGCCTTTCAAAAGCCTCAATACTCCGGAACATCCGGCGCTGCACCAGCCGCAGCAGCAGCCTCTGTCGTCGCCTGTGACTGCACTCCGGCCTTGGTCTTTCTTACCATTCGAATGACCAACCACATGCTCTCCCCTCACCGTCTCTCACATTCTACGGTCCCACGTTTCCTCCCGAAATGTCCCGGGCCAGTAGTAATACTTCGCTATCCCTGCTAACGTCTTGTTGCTCCCGAAATGTCCCGCGTACTGTACGTCGTGAAACTCCTCCAGCAGAATCTGTCGGAGCGGGGCATAGTTCGGTACCCAAATCTTTCCTGATCCCTTTCTTACAGCTAAGTCCTTCTCCCAGTGTAACAGCTTCTTACTGAGGTAGGCGATGGGCTGCAAACTGCGTCCGTGATGCTGCATCAGTACTGCTCCGACTGCTTGGTCACTAGCGTCTGCTTCTACCACGTAGTCTCTGTCTGGATCCGGTAGGATGAGTACTGGCGCTGTAGTCAATGCTGTCTGTTTGTTCAGTGCGCGGTAGTCGATGCACATCCGTAATCTACCGTCTGGCTTTGGAGTGAAGAGAATTGGTGCACCGTAGGGAGAGGTGGATGGGCGGATCAGTTGTCTGTCCAGTAGCTACTCTATCTGCTTCTTCATGTCTGTCAGTTCGGTCGGACTAAGGCGGTATGGTGCACGTGAGACGGGTTTCGCACCTGGTTCCTCCACGATCTCGTGCTCGTGGGTGCGTGCTGGAGGTACTCCTGCAGGTAGGTCATCTGGCATGATGTCTTTGTACTGCTCCAAGACCTCA